AGGATTACACACTGCAACACCATCTCACACTGGATAGGATTACACACTGCAACACCATCTCACACTGGATAGGATTACACACTGCAACACCATCTTGCACTGGATAGGATTACACACTGCAACACCACACTACAGTGTGACACTGCAACCTCCTCCAAGCCCCCAAATCTTTAATGATCTTTCATTTTTGTTTTGCATGAAATGTGACTCTTGGTCATCTTTAGTGTTTAAAACTGCTCGAAAGGTGCAGATGCAGAAATCGTATGAGCACCTAATAGTGTTGTGAAAGAAGGCATGTCGTAACTCCAGTGGTATTGACGTGCCTGTCAACAGAGATCAAAACACACACTGATCTGACTGAGCACTGATCTGTATTAATCTTACTTTAGCTGTGTCCCATGAATCCTTTTGGCTCCTTTTGCTATAAACAGAATTCAATTGTTTGGAAGAGGAGAGCAGGGGCTTGATGACTGTTTATGACGGGACCGAAAGCAGGTAGATGAACAAAAAGAGAATCTGGGCTGGCAACATGCAGTGATCTTCATGTTATTTGTTAAGGTGTAACAGTCGCAAGGAGTGCAGCCACCTGTGCCCTACATCCACTACCCCTAGAGAACCCATGAAGGTTGCACCTCCACCAGGTGAGACTGTGTGAGCTGCACTTCCTCTCTGGACCTGTGTTTCTGTAGTGCATTGATTCTTTTAGCATTCAAACTGTTGGTGTGCGTCTCTGTTAATAATAATAATAATAATGATAATAATAATTATGATGATAATGATTATAAGAGTTTACATGTGGTCAACCATTCAACGATCTGGAAGTTATGCCAGGTAGAGAAGGCTCCCCAGATTCAGTTTACCGAAGAGCTCCTTCCCTAGTTCATTTCTCACACCCACTCCTCTGGAGCTGCTGAAGTCTCCCTTTCTCTTTTTCCTTCTCTGTTCTAGCTCTGTTCTTAATAATAATATGAATAATAATATTAATAATAATAATAATTCCTTACACTTGCATAGTGCTTTTCTGGACACTCCACTCAAAGCGCTTTACAGGTAATGGGGACTCCCCTCCTCCACCTGGATGATGCGACGGCAGCCATAGTGCGCCAGTACACTCCCCACACACCAGCTCTCAGTGGGGAGGAGAGCAGAGTGATGAAGCCAGTTCAGAGATGGGGATTATTAGGAGGCCATGACTGGGAAAGGCCAGGGGGAAATTTGGACAGGACACCGGGGTAAAACCCCTACTCTGTTCGAGAAACACCCTGGGATTTTTAATGACCTGTCCTCTCTCTTCCATTTCTAGAGATCCCTAACAACTGGTGGCAAACCATTGCAATCAGTCTGGCGGTCGCTATGGCTTGTGCTGTAGTTGTAGTTGGTGGTAGAAGAATCCATAAAAGGATCAGGAGGAGCAGAGCGAGTTCATACTACACAGGTAACGCTTGCCTGCCTTTCTTGTGTCTGTGCCACTGGTCTACTATGGCCAGGCAAAAAGGTGACCCCTACCTGTGAGCTCCCTGTACCACTGTGATTATGTAATTATCCAAGGTGCTCCTGTATGTGTGTGTGTGTGCCTTTCAATGACATTCTTTGTGGTTCTTGCCTTAATATTATTAATATCAGTTTTCAATTTTTCAGGAAATACATGCATTCAGAGCACTACATCTCAGAACTCAGAGGTAGGTATTGTATTACTACGTATCTTTTCCTTTCAAATCATTGCACCTTTAAAATATGTTTACGTACAGCACCTACAGTATAAAGCGATCCAGTGGCTTTAATTTACAATAAACCAATAATAATGTTTTTTCGCTGATCTCTGTATTCGCTAGCTTCTCCCTTCACCAACCGCCTCCCTGAGAAATTGTGATCCTGTGTTCGGTCCATTCCCACCGCAGCACAAACAGCCTGAGCTGCCAGATTGTGTTCCACGTACAATTAACAGTAGGTTTCTCTATTATCTCTTTGGATCTATAGTAGGGTTTGTAATAGTCTGTGGCAGGTTCATCTTTAGGGTCTACATTAGAATCTATAATCATAGAGGTCTATATTAATAGAGAGGGCCCATATATATAATAATAGGGCAATTAATCGACAATTAATCTCTGTGTGTGAAGTGTGTCTTTAGGATCTGTATTAGGGTCTGTATTAATCTGTGTGTGTGAGGAGTGTCTCTAGGGTCTATATTAGGGTCTGTATTAGTCTCTGTGTGTGAGGTGTGTCTCTAGGGTCTGTATTAGTCTCTGCGTGTGAGGAGTGTCTCTTTGGTCTGTATTAATCTCTGTGTGTGAGGAGTGTCTCTAGGGTCTATGTGTATATTACCTCTTTTGTGTTAATCATGTTTTTTCTGTGTATATCAGTAATCTCACTTCTCGATGTCTCTCTCTCCCAGTCTCTCAGTTCCTGTACTCTGTGATGGAAGTGGTGCCCGTCTCCCGATGGAAGGAGCTCATTCGCCGGCTGGGCGTCTCGGAGCGGGAGATCGAGAGGGCGGAGCGGGACAACCGCGTGTACAGCGAGGCCCAGTACTACATGATCCAGCTGTGGAGCAGGGCAGGGGGAGGGGGGGGCGGCCTGTCCCCCTCCCTCCCGCTGCCACGCCCCCTCGCGCTCTCCCTCTTGCAGACCCTGCGCGAGATGGGCCTGGGGGGCTGTGCTGAGCAGCTGGACCAGCGGTATAACATCAGCCTGGAGTAGACAGGGCCAACAGGTTTAGAGCATGGAGGAGCAGGGGGCAGGAGAGCTCAGCTAGGGAGAAACAGAGGAAGAGAGGGAAGCAAATTAAACGTCATGAGCATAAGCACATCTTCAGTTTATATTGCAAGTCATGCCTAATTTACAACATGCAGACTATTCTTCTACTACAGGTATATGTAATGTGTAGATAGAACCTATATATATCAATATATGACCTGTCCAGAGCACTGAACAGAGAAACTGTTTGAAAGTCCCAGGGATTATTTTTTTATCTTTATTGCTTTCTCACACATGGACTTACTTCATGTCAGGACATGCGGTCGGATTGCTTGATGTCATTCGTCGGAATCGGGAGAGGGTGGTGATCCTGTTGGGGCAGGGCACGCGTTGCCAGCCGCACGTTGGAACCAGCCGAGGCTGCGGACGTCTCTCGTGCAGGCGGGTCCTTTGGAACAATGGAGAGTCCCCCTCACCCCGCCCCGTTTCGAGCGGCTGTCTGTCTCTGGCATGGCGAGAGGAGGGCAGCGGCACATCACCAGGCACGAAACGGACCAGGCTTAAACATCACGGCATGGCCGTGGCCACAGCTCGGACGTTCTGTGCACCCACACGGCATGCCTAATGGAGGAAGAAGAAGGTTGATCTGGGCGGGGTGGGGTGGGGGGGAGCACTGGGAAAATGGGGTGAAGGGGTGAGGTGTTGGTGGTGCTTTTGGTGGGGGGTGGGGTGGGGGGTTGAGACTTTGAGCCTGTAAAATTTACAACCTGCTTTCCTCCCCCCCCTAAAAAATATGGCTATTCCAGTATTATTTAGTGGACCTTCTTCAAGCACTTATCCGCGTATTAGAGATCCACGTCTTCCACTGCAATTGGTTCTCCTTAAACACTCTCTTTCAGAGCTGGCCAGTGAGATTAAAGACCTCAAACAGTGTTTCTCAACCAATCCGCCTCCAGACACGAATGGATGCAGTCACATAGGAACAAAGGAGGGTTACCAATGGATATTTGGCCCATCTTGGTAGATGGTAGTTAATCGAGCTGGGGAACTCATTAAGTTGTGTCAAGGCAGTGGTTTCAACACAGGACTGGGCAGCCTGTCCCAGACTCCCACCACCCTTTGTGCAAAGTCGTGCTGGCTGCCCTTCCGTTTTAAATGTCCTTCCAAATGGACCAACACAGAAACCAAGCCCAGAGAAGCTGAGCAAGAGCTTCTGGGGTCTCTGTCCTCCATTTCTGCCAGGATAAGGGACTGTGCACTTTGAGACCAGCTCACATTAAGCCCTGCAAATAGTCTGGTTTATAGCATTAATAATAAAGTGCTCAGGCCACTGACACTTGGGACAAGGGTGCTGTGCAGAGAAAGTTTGAGATTTATGTGCTGTGGGACAGATCAGGTTGAGAGACACTGGTCTAGAATTATGTTTTAAATGATTTGGTTCTCGGAGAGCAGGTTGTACAGTATACGAAAGTATGCATTACATGTCAAAAGCCATTAGTTCTTTTTTTTTGTCACTTAGCATTATTCCTGATTATGATTGTAGCCCAGACCTCACTTTGGAGCCGAAGTCGGGCAGCGTGACTGGCTGGGCCTGTCAGGGGTGTCAGTGGATCAGGCTGCTCAAAAGTTTTTGCTGCTGTTTAAAGGGTGACGAAATGACTCACAGCACCAGGACCCCCACGTTTGTTTCCTGCCCTGGGTTCAACATAGCTTGAACCCGAACCTGCCCCACCTGCGGGTGAACCCGCATATGCCCATGGGTGCGAGTCAACCCACGCATCACTATTGGGTAGCATGGTCCAGACAGCTACTACTCTTTGCGTAAAGTAGAGCGTCCTGCTTTCCAATCTTCATGCACTCCCCCTGGTTTCCTCTTGTGTTCCTGGCAGGACTTCATCGGTGCCGTTTGAGGATTGTGAATGTTCACGATTGAAAAGGACATAGTTGCTTTAGCCCGTCTGAGCAGGACTATTCTACAAACTCCCAGGAACGTGTCGGGCCTGGTTGCTCATCTCGCAGCAGCAAGATCTTTTGGGCACAGTGGTGACTAAAATTGTACGCCATGTTCTACATGAAGTCTGACTAGTGCAGTAATCAATTTTAACATCACAGTGCCCCCTAGTGGCTACTGTGTCAGTGGAGCCAAATGCCATTTCTATGTGGGGAATGTTTCACCATCTAGCCTTGTAGACACCCTTTATCACAGGGTCCAATCTTCTGTCAGGCCCTTTAGTGTGGTAACAAATTGACACTCTAAATGGCTTTTTCATAGTCATAAAATCTGTTCTTTCCTCTATGGGCAAGTGCATCCAAATGATTAACAATTCTAAATGATCTTTTTAAACAAAATCATTCTAACCAGCATTAGGAATTCTTTGGTGCTCCTACAGTGTCTTTAGTGTGTGGTGTTAAAGGAGTGATTGGCGGCGGTTTTGGCGCAAAGAATTGTGTCTCGTCGGTTCTTGGACCGTACAGATGACAACGGCCGGGGGCTGGCAGATTGTTGGCGCTCCAGGAGGCCCGATGGCTGAGATCTGCAGGAGCAGTGCAGTTCAGAACACAGCCCAGAACTCCAGGCTGAGAACCTGTGACTCCTGTCCCTGGTTTTCGGGAGGTTATGTCCACATTGACAGAGTCGGGGACTTCTGCCTGGGTGTTCGGCTTGCATCAGCAGCACTGTATCCGGCTAAATTCTTTCCCTTGGCGGCCGTCCAGTCGCTTCGTGTTGGTATGTGATCCCAGTGGGGGAGCACTGTCGCACTTCATTTGTAATCTTTTTTTTTTATAGAGAGATTTATTTTTTCATTTGTTCTTCTGGAAAATAAAAACTTCCTCCGAAAAGGCGAGGTTTCTTTATCCACGATGGGCCGCGGTGAGCGATGGGCGGCACCGGTGCCCGTAGGATCGTTCTGTTAATTGTTCCGTCAGTCATTCTGTTAACTTACTGCTGCTTGTAGAAGCTGTGAATGGTCGAGGAAAAGATTAAGATCAGATCACTTTATTGGCCCTATACAATTTCTTGCATTAGGAATTTCTTTTCGCAGACCCCAGCTTGCTCTCCATGAGACACACAGACTTGGGGTCAGAGCGCAGGGTCAGCCATGTATACGGTGACCCTGGAGCAGTTGGGGTTAAGGGCCTTGCTCAGGGGGCCCAACAGAGTAGGATTCCTCTGCCGGCCGCGGGATACGAACCGGCAACCTTCCAGCCACAGGCGCAGATCCTCCGCCACAGAACCGCTGCACCGCCCCCAAAGAAAGGAGAGAGAGAGAGGGGTTACGAGGAGGCAGGAAGTGAGAGAAGGAGTGATCAGTGAGGAAGAGGGAGAAAGTAGACAAGAAACGGACAAGAGCAAGAGCACACCAGCAATGGGAAATAAGGACCAGGAGGGAGAAGGACAGTGTGGGTAAGGAGGAACAGAAGTTGAGAGAGGAAGAGAGTGAGACCGATGAAGACCTGAGAGGGGAAAGGGATATTCCCGGAAAGAGCAGGTGCACACAGACTATATGCATTAGGACGCTTTGTACATCTGTGTCCCAGACTGAGCAGGGTCCTAACAGGAAGCACCGAGTCTACAAGAGATCCTGACTTTTCCAGACGCATTCCCCCCACACATCACAGCAGCCCTGGAGCAGCGAGAGCACCTCGGGCTACACGGAACCAAAGCAGCACCCAGACCTGATCACGGGAAAAAATTAATAGATCCATCAACCCTCGCTGCCACAGGTGGTTTCATGATGGTTCGTTGATTATGGACAACCTCCAGGGGATTGACACCTGAGATGCCTTAAAACAGATCAAACATGACTTAAATAAGTGTATTATTATTGACAAAAAGTGTTAACACAAAAACAATGGGTATGGAGGAGTCGCTCTGTCAAAGTTATTCCTGGCAACAGTAAGATAGTCTTATAATTTTGCAATCTGAAAGCTTGGCTGAAAGGTTAAGTTACCGCTTGTTAACGGCCTCCTTAGGTCAAAAGAATGGGCAAAAACTCCAACCGGCCTGAAAGCTGTTTTGGGGGAAAAGAAACAGCCTTCCCAAGTTCGAATTGGTCATCCGAACCCCCGAGGCGATCCGATGACGAGGCAGGAGCGGGAAGAGAAGCTCTAGGCCTAGCGGACCAGAAACGCCAGCGGGCCCCCGGTCGTCGTGATCTGGAATGAGATGCTGAAGCCCTGCTCAAATTCCTCTCTTGGGTCCTGGGCGTTAGCTATGGCTCCCTCTTCCCCCCACCCGCCACAGTCCAAAGTCATACGGGTAGGTTAACTGGCTTCTGGGAAAATTGGTCCTGGTTTGAGTGTGTGTGTATTATATCTGTGTCTGGTCTGTGATGGACTGGCAACCCATCTAAGATGGATCCTGCTTTGTGCCCATTGCTTGCCAGGATAGGCTCCGATTCCCTCTTGACGCCGAAAGGGAAGAAGTGGTCAGAAAATGCACAGATTGGTCCAGTGCCGGATTTCCCATGAGGCACTGTAGGCACAGGGCCGAGGGCCTACGACATTTTTAGGGCCAACGGAGGAGTGAAACACTAGTGACTAACGAGAAAACGAGCCGAAACAACACGCTTGTGAGCGACTCTAGCTGCTCCAAATCACTAATCACACACTCTCTAGCGGCTGTTCTAGACACTGGAAGGATCGAAGTGATGGCCGCTGGACTCGCTCCATCACCCACGGGGTTCAGCATTCGAATAGTTTGAAGTGCATCATGTCAATCGACGTTATTCAATTGGCGTTCACCCCTCTTTTTGCACATTTGGGAGTGAAAGTGCCCAGCGCCTGCGAACACCAAGATCCGGCCCTGGACTGATGGAGTTAGCGGATTGGAGAATTGCAATGACAGCGAAATTGCCTCTAGAGGCCGCTGTAGAGACCTAACAAAAAAACAAATGAAAGGAGCCCATTTGGGCTATCAAGACCATTTGATCGTTAGCAGTCAATTGATCCCTGGATGTCATCCAGGTGCTTCTCGAAAGAAACTGGGGTCCCGGCTTCAGCAGCATAGCTGAAGCAATACATTGGTAAATAGAGCTCAGCTGCTGTAAAAAGTACTCTTGTGACACTCATCGTTAGTTTGGAATCTGAAGATTTTCACATGGGTTTTAGTGGTGTAAAAAGATGCGTTAGAAGCTCAAAGGAGTTGGAGCTTTAGAGGAATGGTATGGCTAATTTATTTTGAGAAATCTTTTCTTGTTGAGTTTAAGCAAGATGGGGGAAGAAGCCATATCACTCTGCAATTCACAGCTGACAAAGCACTGAAGCTCAGCAGGTGTGGGTCTGGTCAGTACCTGGATGGGAGACTCCTGGGAAAAACTAACTTCAGGATAGTCCATCAGATTAGAACACAGTACAGGTAACTTCACCTGCATGCACAGCACAAACTAGAGTGTTACCAGGTCCTACTAAATACACTTCAACCTGGCAAACCGCAAGACTGTAAGCTTGATGAAGTAGACAGACTTACTGTAGTAGGCAGACTGGGCTGTCCAGAGAGGACAGGCTTAATGACCACAGCCTGGATATAGAAACTGGACACAGGCAGACTGGGCTGTCCAGAGAGGACTGGCTTAATGACCACAGCCTGGATAGAGAAACTGGACACAGGCAGACCTGGCTGTCCAGAGAGGACAGGCTCAGTGACCACAGCCTGGACAGAGAAACTGGACACAGACAGACCTGGCTGTCCAGAGAGTGACCACAGCCTCGCTGTAAAAACTGGACACCGGCAGACCTGTGAGTGAGGGAGAGTGGGATGGAGGAGGGAGGAAGAAAGTATGGGAGAGTTGAGAGTGGGATTAAAGGGAGGGAGGGAGGTGGAAAGAGTGACTTATTAGGTGTATCCCCGTGGCTCAGTGCAATGGCAGCTATGCCGTCTTTCCACATTCCTGGGACACTCATTAACTCGGCTGCTTAATGAGAGGCAGCTGCTCCTCGGCCTTTCCGATAGCCTCGTAGCTGGCAGGATCTAGAGTCTGTGACAGGTACACAGTATTGAGTAAGAAAGAGATCCTTTCTTAAACGAGCCAGGCTGTATCTGTGTGTCTTTCCCTAGTTATCGTTGTGCTAGGGTGTGACTTGTCCTGGGTGTGTGCATCTGAGTGCAAGTTGTACCCCATGCGTGTGTCTTAGAGTGACTAACCCCTCTGTGATTCTTTCGAAGTGAGTTTTTCTGTGTCTCGTCTGTGATTTTTCCCTCTGCAAGTGTCTGAGTGCCAGTTCTCTCTGCCTGGGTCTCATTGTGATTTCTCTGAGACTGTTTCTCAGTGTGAGCTATGCTATCTGGAAATATGTGTCTGAGAGTGAGGGAGACTTATGTTCTGTGATTCTGTCTGAGTGCGAGGGTGTGGGTTTTTTTCTGTGGGATTATCCTGCGTGTGGGAATGTGGGTTATGGTCCGTGCCTGTATCCAAGAGACACCGATATGAAACAGGATGAGGACAGAGACATGACGGGGAAACACAGATGGGGGGGGGGCTTGGTTCAGAAATCACAGCCGGCACAAAGGGAACAAGCACACACCAACCGCAAGACAAACAGCAGGGAGAATCCACGCCTGACGCAGACGTGCCATTTAAGGATCTGGTTCGTCTGGCAGAACCAGTCGAGCACACAGACCGACAGGGCGGGAGGACTAAGGAGGGGAAGGAAGACAGACGATACTGACAGCCGTGGACTAACCCACATCAGCATTGGAAGATCTGGATTGGGCCACCAGAGAGACATCTGTACCGCTACAGGTAAGGACCCTCATATTACCAAGACCTGAGGCAGATTTAGACCACGGCAGAGAAAGACATTGGCCTTGGTGCTCTGTGCCAGACTCTATCAAGACACAGTGTACCCAGTGCCACTGCGCGGAACGTCTGTATCGTCTGCTAGGATCGCTGTTATGTATCAGAACAAACTCCTCCAGGTCTGGGCCACCACAGGCCACAGTAGCTTGTAATTACAATTGCCTGTGCAGGAGAAAACTTGCAGCTTTAAACGGTTTTCATGGTTTTGCAGTGCTGTGATTTCGCATTGCGATCAGCCGAGTTACAGTATGTGTCAGGTTAAGCCAGGAAGAATACACTGGCCTATATAACAGGTGGTATTGCATTTCCATGGTTTATCCTGGTACAGTACTGCGTGCCCTCCTGTCCACATGTTCAGTCTGATTCTTGTACAATTTAAACTGACACACGGGAATGAGTACCAATTAGCTGTTGCCAGTGTTGAGGCTTGTCAGTAGGAAATTTATCACAGATGCTGTGTAACTCTGTGTTAGAGCTCTACTGAGCACTGCGATGTGTAACTGAGTGTGTTTACACGTCATCATTGTTTTCACAGGAAGAGGCATCACACACTGCCCTGAGTACAAAGCATGCTTGGAGCACGAAATAAAGACAGAAAAACTCTGTAAACAAACACTGTAGCTAGACCCCATTCTGTATGTGATGTTGCCACTAGATGCTATATGTAACTATGTAGATACAGTAGACATTCCTACATAGATATTGTAAAGATACACTAGGCGTTATCTGGATGTAACATCAATGCAAACTGATAAATGGTAACGTTGTTTCACCCACAGTTCCCCCTCTCTGCTGTCTGAGCAGAGTGGGGGCAAGCCCTCTCTCACCAGACCAATACCTGAAGTCTTGCTCTTAGTGTGCCATTGTCATTGTATGTAAGAGTATTACCATGGCAACAACAATGATTGGTCAATCACCAAAAGCACAGAAGCTGGAGACAGGAAGTGAGGTCACAGTGGTGCCCCCAGAGGTGCAGGAAGTTGGGGGAAGCCTGCAGAGAGAGGAGACGGAAGGGGAGAAAGAAAGACGTCCGGGGTCAGGAGACAGGGAGGGAGTCTTGGAGAGAGAGGGAGAGGTGCAAGCAGAGGCAGATGGAGAGAGACAGCCGGATCAGGTGGATTTGGGACTGGCTGCAGTTGCACACTTGAGTAAGAAGAAATCAGGAGAGAAGAACCAATTTAATACTTTGGCACACCAGGTGAGTCTGATGTATTCTTTTCCTTGTTCTCATCCCTGTTCTTACTATTGATGGTGTTCTTCTTTCGTGTAAATGTCTGCTGATTCACCTTAGAAACAAGCTACAGTTACAATATATGTGTATATGTAAACAACAATGCACTCCCTAGTCTCCATTAATTTTCTACTGTTAAAAGAACTTTAACAGTAGAAAATTGTTAAAATTGTTAAATTGGTGGTGGATACAGCTGAGATTCGGTGTGAAGAAACCATTGTTGTTGTTTTCCTATTTCTCTTCTCACATTAATTACAGTTTTAAAAACCGTGATCACTACATCTCCAGGTCCCCCGCACAAGAGCAGCCAATATGAATTGGTGTAGAAGATCACTGATCTCACGTCATCTAATCGCACTGATCAAAGCAGAGCTAATGGACTCGATGTCAGGTCTTCCTTGTCGTTAATGTCATCCGTTCCTCTCCACACATCCTCAAAGCCCAAAAAGGGTTATTTTTTGGTGCTACAACATAGAAATCCATCAGGATTAACTGTGGGGTTTCAGAAAAAAAAAACAGCTACAATTTCAGTGGAAAATTCTCGATGGAATTGTGCTCCCGTATGAAGAAGGAAAGACTGAGTGAAAAGAGGAGACCTGACTACAGTCCAACATTTTTGCAAAATAGTCTGTTTGTGTGACGCGCAAAACTCCCACTACACAGGGCCTCTAGGCAAGCTGTTTCTCACTGAAGTGTTACTGCTTCTGGTATACTTGTTTGTCATGCTGTTGCTATTATAACTGATAAGTACTACTACTGCTAGGAACTGCAGTTCTCTGCTACACCTGTAATTAATCAGGGGCACTCTTTTTTTACTGTAATCACTGTGACATGGTTTTGCACTCTATGCCTGTGAAGAGTTTGGGGGAGTCCATTTTTATATTCTTCTTCATCTTCTTCCTCCTCGTCCTCTTCTTCTTCTAATTAGAAAAAGAGAAAGCACAAGAGAATACCAGAGTATGCCACACAGCACAAGGGAGTGTTCAAGACCAAGAGCAGAACAACATTACGCAGTGGGTTCTTCAGCCAGGTTCAGTATGAAAAACCACAGTCTCCAGAGGTAAGGGAAGACATACTCTCTCATTTTGCCTCTGTCCATCAAAACAACTGCTTTGTGATTATTGCATTTGTCTCTCCAGTAGCAAACAGTACTTTGCCGTAGTGTCCAGTCAGTCATTCAGGGTCACTGTGCTGTAGGGTCCAGTCAGTCAGTCAG